TTTTTAAGTGTCATCAAAATGACTGGCCCTGCGGTTCATCTTCAGCCTGGGTAAGAGTCAAAATTAACAGGGATTAAGATCTGGTTTGTAGCGATTGTAATGGACAGTTTTGATATTTATTTCTGTCAACACAAATCTTTATTGCCTAACGATATTCTTAATTACATTCTGCAAACTAGTCAGCCGTGACAAGCAGTGTTTATTTGGGTGTGTTCAAGGAGCTGTTACAATCATCTCCTTCAATCTGAAATAACAAAATTTGCCAGGTCAGCTTCTTTGATATCGGGTAATAATATGCTAAAATGAGAATAATCTAGGGCAGTTATAATTGTCTCTCTGAAAAAGTCTCAAAACCTTTTGAATGCACCTCGTATCTATCTATCTATCTATCTATCTATCTATCTATCTATCTATCTATCTATCTATCTGACGTCCCCCCGCCCCGGTGTCGCCGCTCCAAACGTGACGTCCGCCTGTCTGCGTCAGTCGTGCTATCCCGTCCTGTGACGACCAACTGGCTTGGTATTGGTCGCGGCACCCAAATGTGACGTTCTAACCTTTTGGTGATTCGGATGGGAATCTAGTTAGATTCGATATCAGCCTCGTCGTTCCCAACTTGCCTCCAACGTCTGGTTACCGAAGTAACTACTTTGATTTCCAGTCTACCTACCCACGTTGTGAATTGATCTTAGGCAGACAAAATCAATCAGTCGTCGGGGCAGTAATGCAAGTCGAGTTCGAATAAGGGCGATATCGCACAAATAGATGTAAAAGAAAATAAAATAACAACTCGAAAAGTTCAAATGTGTTAAAAAGGATAACAATATTTTATATCTGGTTGCTGGATACAGGACTGAGTCTATTTCCCAACCCGCTATATGGATACGTGACACGTTGTTTTTGTTAGGCGATTCTTAACATCTTGTCAGTTCTTTAAGAAACTGGTTCTTGGTGTGTCTTCAGGCGATATTCGTAAAACTTGTTTTGGTGGTATGAGTCTAAGTGGTTCTTCAAAAAATAAATTGTTCTTGGTTAGAAGATGAGTTCGGAATTGCGTGAATCTTAGTCAGCTAATGCGTGGTGGGTCTTCAGAGCTCTCAACTTAAACTCGAACTCACTGGAACTGGAAACTCTGGAAAAACTGATTTTCGCTCGCTGCGACTTTGCTTATATGGACGCCGACCCAAAACCGGGGTGGGCTCGTCGGGGTTTGAGGTTCCTTGATAATTCTAAATCCACGGTCCACTTCTTTGTTTTCGGTCAGGAAATTTCCATTCCTTTCCATTTTTGGAAGTCTTCTCCTACTCCCACCTTCTTCTGTTCTCATATGGGTATCTCACCATACCTCAGAGTGCGTCAACGGTTTTCCCTCTCTCTCGCTGTGACATCTCATACATATCCTCTCAAAGGGTGCCAGCAGGCCTCCTCCCTGCATCCCATGATCACCTCCGCCTGGCTCTCGTTAACATTCACCCAATGGGCGCTCAGCAGTGTGGGCGTGACCAGACTAGCCTTGTTTTTTAAAAAAAAATCTTGCTCGAAGAAAAATAAAAATTATCTTTTCTTTTCCTTTTTCCTTCTTTCTTCCTCTTTTCTTTCGTAATGTGGTCCCCTAATCGCAGCTCTTATCCTCAATGTCACCTGGTACTTATCAATGAGATTTTCGCCAATTATCAAGTGGGTGGTCATCTAGCGAAACACAGCCAACTTTTCGTCCCGATAAGGTAGTTTCGCTATCCTAGCCGTATTTCCATTCTTGGTGCCGATTTCTGATAAAATAGTTACGCTGTCATAGTCAAATTTCAACACAACCCAGATGCCTTGTCCAACGACACCCTCCCATCGACAAAGACTTAACCTATGGTTTGGTTTTCTTTGTTCTCGCAACTCGTGTGTGGCCAACGGACAACACAGTTAATTTTTATCTATTTAGAATTCTGTCTCTGAGGCCAGCTGGCCAACCTGGAATTTGTCAATTAGCTTTTCGCCATCACCAAACGGTTGGCCCATTAGACGCTTTCAAATTCTGGCGTTATCTATTCCTGATAATATAAGTTCGCCACCATGACACAGTTAATTTTTTATCTATTTAAAATATATATATATATAATGCACAAATATATATATATATATATGAGAATTGAAGGAGGAAGGTCTAAACCCACAGACAGACTGGAAAATTATATGTTCCGCTCATATTCCTAATAGTCTTAGAGATAGGTGTAACTTATGTTTAGAAGAAAAAAAAATAATAAAATACAATTATCAAAGCAAACTATTGAATCAAAGGAATGAATTAGTTTTAAAATGTTGACATAAAAACAAATTTAAATTTCCGTAAGATAGATTTTATTTTATTGCTTTATAATCTTCTAATTCTTCAAATGTCGAAACATTTCTTATTTCTATATTTCCATTTTTTTCACCATATTAACTATATCTTATAATTGTCCCCTGTTCCAAGAACTCTCCTTCCTTTATCACTTACATCTCATTATCTATATATTTTTAAAGTATTTTTTAAAATTATAACTTTATACGATTGCTTTTTAATCTAACTTGTTTTTGATTTAACTTATCTTTAAAATTAAAAATTTTTTTCTAATGTATAATTTATTTTATCTATATTTTTATTTTTAAATATATATATTTTGTTCTTTAATTTAAAAGAGAAATTTTTATTGATTATAATTTTTAAATATACTTTAACATAAATCTAATATAAATTATCTGAATTTGATTTATTTTTATTTTTTTAAAATATATATTATTTTTAAGTATATTTATCTTTTGAAGTGTATTTTTAAGTAGGAACTTGTAATTTTTAATGTTTTTTTTATAAAACTACTTTTTCGCCCGCTTTTTGTTTCCAATTAACACTTCATTCTTCATATAAGCCCAATTTAATGTCATAAGGTTAATATTCGGGTTTATTTTTTATAAAGCCTCTCCCCTTTAAGGCTAATACCTTCCATCCTCCCCTGATCACTGCCTCGTGCCTTTCGTCTGAATGAGACATTGAAATGGATAAATTATGTATCAATTTTTCCATGGCTGTAACAGTTGAATTTCTAATTCCGATACGGCGGGGTTGAATAAGACTGACGAAGTTTTCGCCGGTTGAAATAGATCTATCCCCCATATGAAGTATTTTTAGATTTTGTTGTGTAATACTATTTAATGGCTCTGTTATAATAAATACATTGAGCTTTTCTTGCGGATCAATTTTAATATAATATATTACGAGGATCAAAGGATTTATTACATTTACTATATATATATATATATATATATATATATATATATATATATATATTTACATTATATATTATGAAATGGAATAGTCCCACAATTATTTCATAGGTTGAGTAACAGGACAGACTGGGTCCGATAATCATGTTTGGCAAACAGTCTACCGCAGAATGAAAGGATGGCTACCAGCTAGAAAATCTATCAAGTCAATCATGAATCAAAAACCGGATCGGGCAAACGTGTATCACGTCTGTTACACACACACACACACACACACACACACACACATATATATATATATTATGATTAATATATATATATGACATGTATTTAATTTAATTATATAATTAGATTTGAAGATTTTAGCTTCTGTTTTTGAAACATGGTAATTCCTGTGAAGCGAAGGAACCATATTTCTAAATCAGTTAATTTATATTATTTATGCTCTGTAAATTTATATTGAGCACTGTTTTGTAAAAATAAAAATATCAATAAGAACACCGGATTATATATCTTACTGTTCTTTCTTTTTTTTTTTTCTATCTATCTATCTATCTATCTATCTATCTATATATATATATATATATATATATATATATATATATATATATATATATATACAGATAGATATAGGTATATATTGTGTATGCGTATAGTCATGATAATTAAAATATATACTCTTAAACGAAAGATAAGATTACGTTTAGAATGTGGAGACTAAAAGAAATTCCTATTTCGCTAACACATGACTCAAAAATCCAATAAACTAAATCTATATATAACTTTATATAAATGCTTTATATATATATATATATATATGTGTGTGTGTGTGTGTGTGTGTGTGTGTGTGTGTGTTTGTGTGTGTGTGTGAAGTCAAGTAACAGACGTGATACATGCTTGGGCGATCAGTTTTTTTTCGATTCATGTTTGACAAGGCAGATTTTCCCGCCAGTGACTACCGTTTCTTTCTGCGGTAGACTGTTAGCTAACCCAGACTATAGCGCCAAGTCTGTCCTGCTATTCAACCCATAGCTCGGGCTGTCAGACGAGGTGATTTCATACCTTTCCAAAAATGCAAATATTATTTAAATTATTTTAGTTTGAGAAATTAAATTATATATTTATATATTTTAAATAATATAGGGTTTTAAATTTAACCTTTTTCTTTTGATTTATTTTTTTTTATATATAATCATCTATATTAGCTTGAGAAAGAGAAAATATTTGAAAAGAAAAAAAAGCATGACGCAGATTTATATTTTGGTAAGATTCGATAGCGCCAGTCTCAATAATTAGTTAAGTTTCCCTTTTGTTATACATATTGTCTTTTTTACAGATATATTTTAGTTATATCTGATTTTTACACACATTCACACAGACACAAACACACGCGCGCACATACACACACGTATATATATATATATATATATATATGATAGTGATCATTTATCTTTATATGTGTATATGTTTGCTTTTGTAACACGCATAGTGTCGCTGTCAGTAATTCTGTCGCTAATTCCTCACATCAGGATGCATATCAATTACCCTATTGCCTTGGTCACACCATACGCGTGGGTCCCTAATATATGGGTGAACACTCGTCTCTTCTGTTTTCTAGTGGCTACCCCCTGACCCCGGACCCTCGCCTGGATTTCAACTTAAAACGATCGTTAAGACATCTTAATCCCTCGCGGATTATCTTTCGCGTTGCTGAGCCACTCAGAGAGGTGAGGCGGCGACAAATTAGATCAAAGGTTTTTTGCAGATACCTTCGTCTTTTGGATGTCGGTTTTGACAGTGGCAAAAAGAGAAAAAAAGGATAAAGTTTGGTTAGGAGGATGTCGGGGAAGGTAAGAATATGGTGTGTGGGTGGGGGGTCGGCAGGAACATTGGAACAAAGCATTGTAAACAAAACCCGGAAGGACAAAAGCGGACAGAAAGAAAAGATGGAAGATATAAAAGAGGAACGGAGGAGAGAGAATAATCACTTTTAAACAAGGAGGAGGAGGGGTGAAAATATAGAATCCAGCAAAAGAGACAGAAAAGAAAATTGAAAGGGAAAGAAAGTGTGTGTGTGTGCGTGTGTGAAAGAGAGAGAGAGAGAGAGAGATATGCAAAGATGAAGATAACACGTAGTCAAGAAAGAAAGAAAGAAAGGAAAAAATATAGAAATTAAAAAAAAAAGACGTAAAAGTAGGGAAAGACGAGGGCGAATAAAAGAGGGCAAAAAGAAAAAGAAGAGAACGAAGGAAACAAGAAATGAAACAAACAATTAATAATGATAATAATATCAACAACAACTAGATGAAGAATAAAGGAAGAAGAGTAAAATAGCAAAATGAACACGCGCATGCGCATGCACATGCGCACACACATGCGCACACACGGATATATGTGTGTGTGTGTGTGTGTGTGTTTGTTGTATGTGGAAAGAGAGAGATTATAGAGGCAGAAACGGGGAAGCAAAGCATTGTACTGAGATAGGTAAATAAAAAAAGTGACTGATAGATAGATAGATAGATAGATAGATAGATAGATAGATAGATAGATAGATTGACTGATAGATAGATAGATAGATAGATAGATAGATAGATAGATAGATAGATAAATAGATAAATAAAAAAACGTTACTGAGATGTAGATAGATATCTAGATACATAAGGACGTAACTGATATATATATATATATATATATATATATATATATATATATATATATATATATATATATAGAGAGAGAGAGAGAGAGAGAGATAGATAGATAGATAGATAGATAGTGTTATGTCTTCATTCCATTAAATGAAGATAACACAATCATGAAATATAATGTCGCTTGGAGTCGACGTAGTCTTACTGAATTCTGTAGTAAGGATATGAGGCTCACTCCTGGCTAGGTCCCTCCTTACAATTCTCGGCGTCAGTATATATTCTGTCTGGACGTGTCCAAGTGATGTTCTGGGGAGGTGTGTTTCATATCAATATCTTTTTAGATATACATTTTCTTTAGTCAATATTTTTCCGAGATGGGTCCACTTCCAAAGTTTCAGTCGTATTACGTTTTCGCTTACCCTTCGTTATATTGTAATATTAGTTTTAGAAATAGCTACTTCAGAGTTATCGTAAACAATGTCCATCGGTGAATTAAATTGTATTGGTTGATTATTCTGTGTATATCTATACATCGATTGATTTATATGTCTTCTATGTCGAAATCGTCCACCTTCGACAATGTATATCATGCTACCAATTTTTCGTTCCTGCCAATTTTCATGTCCGGCCTTAAAGCTTTTAAAGACTTTATCGCAGATCTTAAATGATCTTGTAGTTTCAAATTGTCGAATTTTCTTTTTTATTCCCGGGCCGTAAATTATCGAAAATGGATCAAACTTTCCTAGCAAACCTGATCTCTGCAGGTAACATTTTCGCTGTGGCGTTTGCATTTGACGTCATTCAATTCAGTACGCTCAAAAATTCTTCAGCTTCCAAGTCTTTAGCTTTTCTTACTGGCTTTTTGCCAACAAACCGCCCAGCTTGATCCTTCGACCTCGAATGATAAATCGGCGTTGTCAAATGTTTAACAGCGTAGTTTTTGTAGACATTTTTTAACTCACTAGAAGTAAATTGAGTTCTATTATTGCATATCACGCTGTCGGGTAATCCAAACTTTGCAAAAAGTTCGCGTAAGAATTTAATCGTTATTCTAGCAGTAGGTCCTTTACACTTTAATATCTCGGGCCATTTTGTGAAACTTTCGACCACAATTAAATAGTATGAACCGTTTAGTGGTTCAGCAAAGTCCATATGTAGTATTGGTAACGGTTTATCAGTGCCCGGCCATGCCTGATAATTTATAGGTGGCGATTTTGCTGCTGAATTACAACCATTGCATCTTCTAACTGTATTTTGAGCATCTTTGTCCAACTTTGACTAATACACATAGCTTCTCATCAGGGACTTCATCTTACTTATTATAAAACGCAGACTCTGTGTGTGTGTGTGTGTGTGTGTACGTTTATTGGATCGGATTTCCTACATTTTTCAACCGATTTCAACAAAACTTCACAGGACTGCGTAAAATTACCTTGCGGTGGTTCTGACAGCGCCAAAAATTGAAAAACACAATTGTTTTTGTACAAAATCAATTTGAAAACACGATAAAATACGATTCTGTTGACAGAATGAAAGGGGGACAAATCATATCGAGTTATACTTATTATAAAGCCCAGGTTGTTTGGGTGGGTGTGTGTTCGTTTATATATGGGATCGGATTTCCTACATTTTTCAACCGATTTCAACAAAACTTGGCAGGTAGTGTTTCTTATTCTCTTCCACACCTTTTTCTTTATTTTTACATCCAGAATGCTTTAAAATTCCATTTACAAGACAATTGTTTATAATAAAATTCTATTCAATAGGTAGACTCATAACGATTGAAAACAATGTTTTTGTTTGAGTTTGGGTTTGACCAATTCGTAAAAAAACAAAACAACAACAACAAAAAAAAACTAATTAAGACATGCGTGTCCGTCAATCTTAAACAATAATCTTTGTCAATTTTATTTTTCAGTCTTTATGATGGTCGATACTTGATCTATCTCTTACTGTTACATCCCCGGGCAATGCCGGGCTCTACTGCTAGTTCTTACTATTCTTGGATGTTTAACGTGGAATTGTTTCAAAATCCTTTCTATAGTGATAACGAAAATACTACTCTTTCCGCATACAAAAGTATCCAATCACAAATAGATAAAAGTTGCATTATTGTCACCAGGTTTAATTTTAATTTGACTTCATTTCAGCTTAACGTTATTCATAGTTTTTTTTTAATAAACGTGTCCTTTTTAAAATGAATTCCGGTGAATACAGAGTTTTAATCTGTTGTTAACGCGGTGTAACTTAATATCTAAGAATGGTAAGCAAATGTCTTCTTCCATTTAGTATGTAAATTCTATTGTGAGTTCAACTTTTTTTTAAACAGTATGAACCATTTAGTGGTTCAGCAAAGTCCATATGTAATCTTGTCCACGGTTTATCCTTGCTCGGCCATGATTGATAATTTATAGGTGGAATTTCAGCTGCTAAACTACAGCAATTACATTTTCTAACAGTAGTTTGATTATCTTTGAACAACTTTGGCCAATAAACGTAGCTACTCATCAGATACTTCATCTTCACTATTCCCGGATGGCCTGTGTGGAATTTTTTAAAAATCCTTTTTTGAGGTGACAACGGAATTACTACTCTTTCCGCGTACAAAAACCCAACGTCACAAATAGAAAATACTGTATTATTGTTAACAGGTTTAAATTTAGTTTTAATCCATTTCGATTTAACGTCATTCATAGTTTTTTGAAGAAAGGTATCCTTTTTAGAATGGATTTTGATATCGTCTATCGTGACCGGCAATTATTTAACAGTGTTACACACCAGGCTTTTAATTTCACTTTCGGATTCCAGCGAAGCAATCACACTATCTTCAAAATCTGTCTGGGGATAATTCGTCCAGTTTGAATTTTTCACACTCACGGTTGACTCTACCGGCATACGTGAAAAAATCTTTATCTTCGTCCTTATTAAAGTTTATTCACTGCTAACTATAGCCACTGCAAGTAGCTTCTCAGCAAGGATTTCGTTCTCACTATTCCCAGATGTCCGACGTTGAATTGTTTCAAAATCCCTTTTTGTGGTGATAACGGAATTATTACTCCTTCCGCGTCCAGATTACTTCATCACAAATAGAAAATGCTGTATTATTGTTAGCAGGCTTAATTTTAGTTTTACTTCATTTTGACTTAACGTCATTATAGTCTTTTGAATAGACCTATCCTTTTTAGAATTAATTTTGTTATCATCTATCGTGACAGGTAATTATTTAATAATGTTACACACCAGGCTTTTAATTTTGCTTTAGGATTATAGAGAAGCAATCACAGTATCTTCAAAATCTTCTTTACATTTCGATATCATTCTGGACAAGCCCATTTGCGTATCCCAATATTTTTGACGACAGTTCCATAAAATCGTAGATCAACGCCATCGTCTGTCTGCTGTATGCGTGGAAATCCCGTTCTTAGAACCGAATACACTTAATAATAGACGACCATCAGTTTGCAGTATAAATTTTCTTCCCTATATAATCCTGTGAAATTTCTTTACAGCAAAAATTATAGCATGCACTTCCTTTTCAATTTGACTTTAGCATTTTTTTCGTATTCGTCAAACTTCTTGAAACATATGTAACTGTACCTTCTTCATATTTATGACCGGTTATCGCTCCTATGCTGTATTCGCTTGTGTCCGACATTACTATTATCTGTCACTGCGGGTCGTAATGTGTCAGCGATAACTCTGGAGTTAGTATTTTTTTAATTCCTTCAAAAGCTCTTTGACATTCCACCTACCGATTCCATTTCGTACCTTTCTGAAGCAAATTATCCAGGGGTACTGGTACATACCTCAAAGATTACGTTCTCGTGCAACAAACAGGCCTAGAAGACGTCCTAACGTCGTGCCCAGTGTAGAATATCACACGTTTTTTTTTCTTTGCTATAAACTCAGCTTCGATAAAGCCAATGAGGAACAGATCGCCAAAAGGGACTATCAGTGTCAGCAGGCTTTTAAAAACAAAGATACGATGACGATTTTTGATGGAAACCTAAAGATCCCGATCGGAGACAACCGGCTGTTTGGAAGATTCTCTCCTCCATGCCAATTGGTATCACATGAAATCTGTCTTCTTTCAAACGTCTCCTAAGTTTCTCAAGTGATTCATTTTATGCAGAGTAGGAGCCTCGTTGTGGTGCCGTGGTTAGCGAGCTGCTCTTGGAGATTTTTATTACTGAGTTGTAAGATCAAACCTCTCCGGATATCCTACACTTGTGCATAATTTTTTTATTATTATTTGCATAAAATCTATTATAACCTTGATAAACTAACCTCGGGGGGGGGGTAATTATTTTTATTGTAACTTTTAGCATTTTTTATTTATTTATTACATATTTCGCCTTCCATTTATAGGTTCCTTCCTTAGGTATCATGCGTGATGCTCGCTTGGGCGATCATAGCTTCTTTTCGATTAATTATTGACTTGGCAGTTAAATTCCTGCAGGAGGCTGTCGCTACTTTCTGCGCTAGACTGGCTGCCAACAAGGCTATAGGAACCATTCAGTCCTGTTATTTAAACCACTGTTACCCAAATTTATATGTTACGTATATATAAAATGCTCAGCGTATTTCGTGACAAGGAACGTAGAAAGATTGTGACAAAGCTAGTCTCCCAAGTAGGCTAGACATGCCTGCCTTGAAAACCAGTATTCAAAAAATTAACTTTTTACTTGAGTTCGAACACCGACCTTTGGAAAATGGTGGAAAATATGCAACAATTTTAACCGTGAAACAGATCTCACGAGTCAGATAGACTCACCAGTCAGTAGGATGTTCTCTTATAATATCGGGTTAGATAATACTTTTGTCTCCAGTTCTTCTACGCATGGATTCGGTGATGCACACCCTCTTTTGAAATTTGGATTGTTGCCGCTATTATAGCATCTTGTAATTTTTTTTGGTTGGTTGCCTGCACAGCCAGAAATCAAATGACTTCTTCGAGAACACACCAAATATCCTTGATATGATTTAGATCCATCCATTTATTGTAGATGCCAATTTAATGCAGAAAACTCATCGTTGTTTTCCATGATAGATAGATAGATAGATAGATAGATAGATAGATAGATAGATAGATAGATAGGAAAAAGAAAGAAAAAAGTCTGGTTTGGGATAGATAGATGGAATAGACTGAGAAAAAGATGAATGAAAAGATATGAAGAAATTGTGATAGATAGATAGATAGATAGATAGATAGATAGATAGATAGATAGATAGATAGATAGATAATGAACCGTCTGAGAAAGAAAGAAAGAAATAATGGAAGAAAGAAAGAAAGAAAGAAATCTAGTTTGGAATAGATAGATGGGATAGATTAAGAAATTGATAATAGATAAGAGAATATGATAGATAGATAGATAGATAGATAGATAGATAGATAGATAGATAGATAGATAGATAGATAAAGAAAGAAAGAAAGGAAGAAAAGTCTGGTCTGGGATAGATAGATGGAATAGGCTGAGAAATATCTGATTAAAAAAGATATGAAGAGAATATGATAGATTTTAGATAGATAGATACATACATACATACGAACAGACTGAAATAGATAGATAGATAGATAGATAGATAGATAGATAGATAGATAGATAGATAGATAATGAACCGTATGAGAAAGAAAGAAAGATAGAAAGAAAGAAAGAAAGAAAGAAAGAATGAAAGAAAGAAAGAAAGAATGAAAGAAAGAAAGAATGAAAGAAAGAAAGAAAGAAATCTAGTTTGGAATAGATAGATGGGATAGATTAAGAAATAGATAATAGGCGAAGAGAATATGATAGATAGATAGATAGATAGATAGATAGATAGATAGATAGATAGATAGATAGATAGATAGAGAAAGAAAGGAAGAAAAGTCTGGTCTGTAATAGATAGATGGAATAGGCTGAGAAATATCTGATTAAAAAAGATATGAAGAGAATGTGATAGATAGATACGAACAGACTGAAATAGATAGATAGATAGATAGATAGATAGATAGAAACTGAGATTGATTTATTTATTTTTCTTTTGGCTTTGTTGTCTTCTCTTCGTTTGTTTTTCCGCTGACTGTCTGTCTCTCCACAAAATACCCCATTGTCCGTTATTCTTTCGAAGGCCTCAAGTCGTACAAAAAAAGAAAGAAAAAAGAAAATGTCCGTCGATCCATTGTCACGTTATTAGGAAACTAAATCGGCGCGCAAGAAAAAAAAGCAATACTGCTGACAATCGATTCGTACAAATCCTCGTCACCGAGCGCACAATGAATCAAGAATAAAACCAAAATGAATGAAGTCGACACCGGGATCTGATTCTCTTCGTCAAATAATAAGAATTAAACTATTATTTGTTTGGTCAACCTGCTGTAAATATCTCATATATATTCGTTGAATAAGTGTCTATTGTAGAAGAAAACAAAAGAAGTTTTCTTTTGGTACTCGATCGCTAACTAGTCTTATAACTGTGTTAACAAATTGGCTAACAGGTACTGAAATAAATTTGATTTAAAAGCCCATCATGGTTAAATTTTGAGATGGATTTCTGCTCATTATTAACCCAGGTTATTTCAGCTTGTTTTAAAAAGTAACCCCTAACGTTACAAGTTGCTAAATACAAATGTAGCCCTCCTAAAATTCTACTGCTCTTTTTTTTAATTTTTAAAAAATTTTTAGAATATATTTTTAATTTTGATAAATGCCCAAGAGACATGAAGTCTTTTGCTTACCCTGTCAATTTTACTTACTTTTGTACGCACCAGTCCAGCATATAATTGATTCTCTCTCTCTCTCTTTCGTAAATCTATTTTTCAGCTTATTTTAAAAAGTAACACCTAAAGTTACAAGTTGCTATTATACAAATGTAACCCTCTCACCATTCTTCTGCTCTATCGCTATTTCCATGGAAAGTGCACAGACCAACTACGTTCCTTACTTTCGCCAGTTCCAAACTTTACGGCTAAGACCCGTCATGCTACGCAAATTATAGCGAACCATCCTCATTCCTTTCGTATTCCCTCAATGAGAAATAAGTTCCAATCTAATTCCTGCGAGCCATTGCTGGAACTGACTTCCAAGAGGATGTTTTTCTTGGTCATTACAGTCTTAACCTGTTCAAGGCATGGGTTAAATGTTATTTTCCTCATATATCCGCCTGAACTGTGCCTCTTACTCTATAATGCCCTACCTCAATGGCTCATGAACTTTGTACAGGATGAACCTTCATTGTTAGAACAAAATTAAAGAGCATGAAAAAATTAGGAAAAACGTGACTCCGAGTTTAAAAAATAGTTGTTCGAATACAAGAGATGTCATATATTTTTGGTCGAATACAGGAGCAGACCAAATATTTGGATGCTGATATTTTAGGCAAGAAGGCATGGCTTCCCTATTTGGGTGAGTGGTGCCGAGGGAATTTCCTTACTAAACATTCTCCATTATCGACTCCTTTGCCAAAGTAAGCTACACTTTGCAAAACAATAGTTCAAATCTTGTATGTATACGAAGGTGGGCTGAAAAGTCCGTAGGCCGACGATGTAAGAGTATATTAATTTCAACTTTTCTTATTAATAACTGCATTGTTTCTTTACAGGTAAACTCACATCTGACTGTTCAAAGAAGACTGTTCTTCCTGTTCGTCAAAAAAGTCAGCAGCAGCAGCAGCAGATAAAACATCATCATTACTGTGATTCTGGTTCCAAACCAAGTGATTTTTTCCGCTAAGTTCCTAGTTTGTGTATGACGATATACTAAATGGCGACAATCACAACTCTCTCCCTTTCTCTCTCTCTCTCTCTCTATCTAATATATATATATATATATATATATATATATATATATATATATATATATATATTTCGATAACTAGGAAGATATGTGTTTAGAAGCATTATTTGGGTTTTGTTTGATCAGGAGCTCTTACGTGGCTGAGGAGTCTAAGGCATGTTATATATATATATATGTGTGTGTGTGTGTGTACATATATATATATATATATATATATATATGACAAAACAAGAGTATGGGCTGAAAAGCTCCTAGTTTGTGTATGACGATATACTAAAGGGCGACAATCACAACTCTTTCTCTGTATATATATATATATATATATATATATATATATATATTTCGAGAATTTTGAAGATATGTGTTCAAAAGCATTATTTGAGTTTTGTTTGATCAGGAGGTATTACGTGGCTGAGCAGTCTAAGGGATGTCATATATATATATATATATATATATATATATATATATATATATATATATCTGTGTGTGTGTGTGTGTGTGTGTACGTATATATATATATATATATATATATATATATGTATATATGATAAAACAAGAGTATGGGCTGAAAAGTTCATAGGGTGACTTTGACGAAATGATGCTAGAGCTGTAAAATCTTGCATGCCTTAATTTGAACTCTTCTTATTAATAACTGCATTGTTTCTTTCCGGGTAAACTGACACCTGACTGTACAAAGAAGACTGTCTCTCCTGTTGGTAAAAAAGTCATCAACGACAGATATGACGTCATCATCACTGCGGTGCTCGTCCCCAGCCAAGTGATCTTTTATGTTGGGGAACAGATGATAGTCAAATCAAGAGAATAGGGAAAGTGATGAAACAGTTCAAAGCCAAAGTCACACAGAGCAGCCATTGAAACTAAGCCGTTGTGTGCAGAAGCACGGTCCTGATGAAACAAACTTCCCTTCGTCAGGTTTTCTGGGTGTTTGGTTTTGATAGCGTTTCGTAACTGTCTCTGTATGTTGTTATGGTACTCTCCATTGATGATGTGGCCCTTATGAAAATAAATAAACACGATGCCTTACAAATACCTGTAAAGAAACAAAGCACTTATTAATAAGAAGAGCTTAAATTAATGCATGCATGATTTCACAGCTCTAGCGTCACTCATTTGTAGTCAGCCTATGAAATTTTCAACCCTCACGTGTATACCCCAAGGGTTGCCTTCCTTTCTTTCTTTCTTTCTTTCTTTCTTTCTTTCTTTCTTTCTTTCGGAGCGGGCTGATCATTCATTAGGGAGAAAAATCCACCCGTTACATCTTTATTGCTAGCACGACTTTTATTTGACATTAAGTAATTTTTTTTCCAATCCATAATTTGTGATACAATTAATTTCCGAGAAATCATTTCATTTCAAAAATTTAATTAAAAGATCCATTTCACTTTTATTCCAACCACCCAATCTATTTAAAACTCAAATGTACCGGCCTATCTCTGTCTCTTCGTTCATTGATCTCTCTCTCTATCTATCTATCTATCTATCTATCTATCTACCTATCTATCTATCTATCTATCTGTCATAACCTGCTCATATCTATCTTTGCTTATGAACAAGCTATCTATCTATCTATCTATCTATCTATCTATCTATTAGTCTGTTCATATTTATTTTAAGTTCAATTGCTAAGTATACTGCTAAGAAGATTAGTTCATTGAGTTGTGCCCAAAAATTTTCTCGTCAGAATCCTTCATGCACATTTATCAATCTACCATTCGTTCTTGCAATGAATATTGCTGCCATGTCTGATCTGCTGCTCCTGTTGTGTATTTCGAGACTCTCAGCAAAGTCTAAAAAAGGGTCTGTAATGCTATCGGTCCTGACCTGGCATCTCGACTTCACCCATTTTCCCACCGCCGTGACGTGGGTTCTCTTATGTCGTCTACAAATATGTTCATGCCAGTTTTTCTCAAGAGCTCTGAACCGCATGAATTTAAGCATATTACTAGATTGCCAGTTAGGTCTCATCTTTTTTCTGTTGAAATCGCTAGATGGAACCGAAGTTCTCTTCTAATAGTTTCTTTGCTTGCATTTCTCACCTTTGAAACTACGTTCTGTTTTTTTTTTACCGCCCTGCATCTATAATCTTCAAAAATTTAAATGCACCGCCAATCGCCATTCTCTATCTTCCAAACCCTGTTCTTTTATTGTTCTCTCTTCTCACTAAAGTCTTCTCATTCTCTTTATATTCACTTACGCGCAAATACACTTGGGAAAAATATTAAATCCTACTCTTCTCCCCACACAGCTATGGGTTAATTAGAAAGACTAAACTATAACTATCTCCCCAACCAAAAAAAAAAAAAAAATCTCACAATCTATAAATATTTTCTGGCTTAAAATAGCCTGCAAACGGTTGATAAGCCGTAAAAAATGGATCACGCAAACCATTTTCTCTATATACGAACTGGAACAGATGGCATATGTCTGATGCTTGTAACGATTTATAATACGCGATTAAACCGAGGCGAACTGACAAAAAGAAGAAAACTCAATCAGTCAATACATTACACACTTTATATCGGTATGGTTACCTGCTGTTGCCCAGTTATCAAGCGAGATATTTACTGGTGACTAAAATAGTTATAAAATTAGATTTAGCTTAGAAGAACGTAGTAAAATATTAATATATTTCCAAACAATCGGTTGTTAATTGGGGCAAGAATTGGCTAGTCAAGTTTAACGCCTCAAAAACTACTCTCTATTAATCACGATAGAGATCCTCCCCTGCCCCTCCCCCATTAGAATGTCTGATAGTCAACTTCTTGAGAGCAACTCCCTGCGTCTGCTCGGTCTCACGTTGACTGCTGACCTGAGATGGAATAAATACATTGAGTCAATTGCTTCGTCCACCGCGAGGAAAGTTGGCTCTCTGTGCCGCGCCAGGAAATTTTTCTCCCCGGAATCGATACTTCAAATATACAAATCAACCATTCGCCCTTGCATGGAGTATTGCTGCCATATATGGTCTGGGGCACCTTCTGTTTACCTCGGAGTTCTTGACAAGATCCAGAGACGGATATGTAATATAACTGGCCCTGATCTGGCGTCTCGTCTACAGTCACTCTCTCACAGACGCGCCGTCGCCTCTCTCTGTCTTTTCTACAAATACTTCCATGGTAATTGCTCGGATGAGCTGCTTTCACTGGTTCCCAGACTCCATGAATTCAAGCGCCCTACGGAGCTGGCATCCCGCTTCCACCCTTACACGGTAGAAACTTATAAATGTAGCCGTCTCTTCTATTACAATAGCTTCATACCTCGCACCTCTCGCCTGTGGAACACCCTTCCCAATTACTGTTTCCCTGAGAGCTATAATCTCCAACTATTCAAATGTAATGTCAATCGACACCTCCAGTTACCTTGATCT